TTTTTAGTCTCTCCCATGGGCTTTTGTGTTGTTCTAGGCACTCTATCTAAGAATAGAGAAGGCAATAAAAAAATACCTGGAGCCGGGCGCTGGTGGCTCACGCCTGTAATCCTAGCTATTCAGGAGGCTGAGATCTGAGGATTGCGGTTCAAAGCCAGCCCGGGCAGGAAAGACCGTGAGACTCCTATCTCCAATAAACCACCAGAAAACCGGAAGTGGCGCTGTAGCTCAAGTGGCAGAGTGCTCGCCTTGAGCTGAAGAGCTGAGGGACAGCGCCCAGGCCCAGAGTTCAAGCCCCACGACCGACAAAAAAAAAAAAAAAAATACCTGGAGGTGGTAATGACTGCCTAAAACATGATTTGTTGTTACTGGCATATGCCATTACTTGTAGGAAGTTCAGCAAAACTAACCTCAAGAAGAACCACCTCAACTAACACCTCTTGGATGAGTATCTGCCTTCATCTTACAGAGAGACCTGAAATCACTGTGTGAGGTAAGGAAAGCCAGGCACCAGAGACCATGTACTTCACAGTGGCACTTACAGGAAAATATATAGAGAAGCATATAGTTGGATAGATAGATAGACAGACAGACAGACAGACAGACAGTCAGATAGATCCCAGTTTTAAAAAAAAATGTACAAGTCGTTATGTGGAAAACGAACTTTACAACTTTGGTGACGGAGGGTGGGGGGGCAGGGAGGATTGGTGGGGGGCGGGGGAGGATGGGAAGGGCTGGGAAGGGGAAACAAAGGAGGAGGCTACAATGCTTGGTAAGAAATGTACTCATTATCTTGCTCATGTAATTGTAACCCCTCTGTACAGTATTTTCACAATAAAAAAATATCATTAACAAAATGAACAACCTGGAAAATAATGCCACAGACCAAATAATGAAGAGTTGATATTCTTCATATACAAAGACATCTCAGAAATTACTAAGAAAAAGATGATCAAAATGTACAATAAACAAAAAATGTTAAAAAAAAAAAGACAAGGTAAGTGTAAAGAGTTCAACTAAAAGATAATAACATACATACTTAAAATGTGATAACATTTTTTACCCTTTCAAGTTGATAAATGTTTTAAAAGCTCTAGCAACTGATTCATTTCCCTAGGAGTATAAAATTGATTATTTTTTATTTTAATGTAGTTTTCATGTTCTTTTTGTTGTTGTTGTTTATTTTGGTGTTTTAACACAGGCTCTCACTCTGCAGCCTAAACTGGCCTTTTCCCTGCTTCAGCTTCCTTAGTGCTAGAATTAGAGTTACAGAACATAATATATTCTTGACAATGTTGTTGTTTAAGGCGAGCACATTCTCTTTCATCTGCAAAGTTTACTGTTCATTTGTATGTATTAATTGTACAAAGGATTTCATCATGATATTTCTGTGTATGTATATGATGTACTTCAATTAAACTCACCTGTTCCATCATTTCTCCTCACTCCTCCCCTTTTAAACATTCCTAACAGATTCATTATTATTTTCATACCTACAGAGTGCATTGATCATGTTTTCCCTCCCATTCAATCTTTCCTTTCACTCTCTCCACAACACTTGCTGTTTTACCCGGACGTCATCCATTTATTTTTATACGTAAGTTTATAGGACATGTAATATTTATCTTTCTCAGCTTGGCTTGTCACACTTAGCTTGACGATCTCTAGTTCTGTCCATTTTCCTGAAAACATTTTACGTCAATTCTTGCTTATGGCTGAATAATCCTCTACTATAAGAATATATATATATATATATATATATATATATACATACCACGATTTCTTTACCCACTTGGTTATTGAGCACCTGAGCTGATTGTGTGAATGCAAGTAGTGCTGCTGTAAACATGGATGTGCAAGTGTCTTGACTGTATGCTGACTTACATTCCTTTTCTTTTTAAAACACCTGTAAAAGTATGGATACAATATTCTGTAGCAATAAAACTTTCTCACATAAGGAAATGATTAAATAAATATTGATCTACACATATTGTAGAATATAGTACAACTAATAAAATCACATTACAGAAAAAAAAACTTGGCATGGTAAATTCTTCATAACATCTTATATGGGATATAAGTAGATTATAAAACAACAAAATGGAATCTTACCCCCTGAACAATAATTTAAAAAGAAAAGAAAAAGTAAATACATTTTTTAAATAAGTGAATGTAGCAGCATTGTGGTAGATTTCCATGGAGGAAATAGTCAAAAGACATTCACTAAATTGTTAATAATAATTACATTTGACTACTAATAGTGTGATTTGTAGTTTTTTGCACAGGTGGAATTATATACTTTTATATAATTATATACTTGTATATGTTAAAATAAAATTTCATGTTGACAAAAGGAGAATGTATTCAAAAAAGTCACTTATCTTCTAAAGGATACCAGTTGGAGGATGATAATTAAACCCAGTAAAATGATTTCAGATAAAATGCAGTAACTGGTACTGTGATACTGATAATACACAAATGAGTCCTTCAGAGTTCAGACCCCAGGGAGCGGAGCATGGATGTGAGGAAGATTTCCTTGGGCCAAAGAGCTGTAAACAGGGTAGGTCCTGTTACTCATCATCCAAAGGTCAGTCTCAGCCAGATGCCACTCACAGAGGCTTGCTGGCCCAGTGCAGCCAAGAAGTACAAGCATTACCACAGTCTCGCCTGTGCCTAAGCAACATACAGGTGCCGATGGGTATTTAGTAAACCCTCCTGTCAAAGACCGATAAATCTCAGAGCTCCTGTTTTCAGATACCACAGGTTCCACAGACAAGTTATCTCAGCTTTTCCACATATGTAAGTCTCCTTAAAATTCCCTCTCTATCCAACACATAATGGGTTACTGGAGAGTCGCAGGGAGTCACTGTTAATCTGGCATTTGCACTAGCAATCAACTCTACCTGCTTTATAGGAGTTGCAGTATATCGTGAGGAATCCCTTTGAAGTGCTCAAAAGCTTATTACTTGAAATAAGTCTTAAGAAAAAAAAAACTTGAAGGGAATCCTACTGCATTGTTGGTGGGAGTGTGAACTTGGTCAACCACTTTGGAAAGCAGTATGGAGGTTCCTCAAAAGACTCCATATTAGAGCTCCCCTAGGATCCAGCAATCCCACTTTGGGGCATTTACCCAAATGAGCACAAACAAGGCTATACCAGCACAACTATGTTTATTGCAGCATTATTCACCATAGCTAAGATATGGAACCAACCCAGATGCCCCTCAGTAGATGAATGGATCGAGAAAATGTGATACACACACACACACACACACACACACACACACACACACACACAATGAAATTCTATGCCTCCATTAGAAAGAATGACATCACCCCAGTCCCATTTGTTAGGAAATGGAAAGACTTGGAAAAAATTATATTAAGTGTAAGCCAGGCCCAAAGAAACATAGGTCCCATGGTTTCCCTTATTTGAAATAACTAGTATAAGTCGTGGACAAGCAGAAAAGGTCAAAAGCTATGTACATATGACCATATAAGATGATGTTAAGTGAAATGAACCCCAAGACTGGGACACAATTTGTGTTTTCCTTCTTGCTATTGTTTTTAATGTATCTATTGTTTTTAATGTATCTAAAATGTACTATGTGATTTTTTTTGTTTCTCTTGTATGTTCTTTCCCAACGGTGTAACCCCTGTTTTCACTATATTTGATGTAGGTGCCCTGCATCTTGTATATACATTTTTCTAATTTGTTTGGGGTGGGGAAGGGAAATAACAAGGATACAGGCTGACCCATTGTAACAATGAGATATACAAGATACCATGTTGAAAACGAAGTTTACACCCTGGGAGGGGGAGAAATGAGGAGGGAAGGGATGGTAGAGGATAAACAAAGGAGGAGGTGACAATGCTTGATAGGAAATGTACTCATTACCTTACTCATATAACTGTAACCCCTCTGTACATTATTTTTACAATAAAAAACATTTTTTAAAAAAGCTTTAAGTAGTGTCTTGACCTAGGAAACAGAAACTACCAATGATACTTAAAAACTCAGAGCTAAGTTAAAAAGAAGTAAATAAAAAATAAATAAAAATCTTAGGTTTGCCATACACCTGTCATCCAGTAGTCTCTTTGGGTGCACTTTTGAGAGTTGAGATACAGAAACAAGTAAAGTTCCCACATCCAATTTAATCCATTACAAAGACTTACTCATTTCTTCTATAGTCCTTTAGTACTATGATTTCCAACTGTTGGTCTCTACTAAACTATTCTGTAAAGCGTACAGAAAGTATAGATGGAAATAAACTTTACAACTTGGGGGGGGGAGGGGAGTAGGGAAGAAGGGAGAATATGAGGGAGGGGGTACCACTGTTCAAAAAGAAAGGTACTTGTTACTTATGTAACTGTACCCTCTCTGTACATCACCTTTAGGATACAATCAAATCAAAGTACAGATGGCCAGAGAACTTAAATCCAAGTCCAACTAAACCCACCTCCCTCCCCGCAGTTAGTGAAGCCCGCCCAGGGGGGTGTGGCACGGGCTCCGCAGACTCTGGGACCCCTGGGGTTAGAACTGGCAGCATTCTGTGAAGAGGGGGTGGCAGGGAAATGGGGTGCCCAAAGATCAAGGAAGAGGCCATGAAAACCCCAAAGTTGTGAGTTGTCAAGTTTACTCCTGGTGTTGCCCCAGAGCCTTGGAGGGCCTGGGGAGCGGGTTTAGTCCCGGGCTGAGGCCTTCCCAGGGATGTGAACTCAGTCCTGGAGAAGTGTGTCAGGGAGCAGGGAGTGCACGCAATCAGAAAGAGTAACCACTCCCGACGTGCACCGAGGCGCTGGGCGGGGCTCAGGTGCCTGGCTCCGTGCGCCTGGGGTAACAAATAACAGCTTTCCCGGGGTGGCCAGCCGGGTGCGGGGGGCGCGGCCCGCAGGCGCCTGGCCCGGTGCGGGGGGGACCGCGCGCCCTGAGCTCCGCCCACACTGCCCTCCGCGCGCCCCGCCCCGCGCAGGTGAGAAACTCCTGCAGTCCCCGGACAGCCGCTGGCCCAAAGCTAGCTAGCTGCCCGGCCACCACCAGCCTTCCGAACCAACCTTCCTGCAGCGAGCTCAGCCCGACCACAAGCTCCCCCGGCTCAAAGTGAAGAACAGGTGAACGCTGGGGGCTGCGGGGTGGAGGCGGGGTGGGGAGGGGACCCCGTTAGGCCACTCCCAGGGCTGAGGTTGAGGGTGAGATTGGAAAGCAAAGGTCAGTGCGTGCATGACCAGACGGTGTATTTTTTTTCCTTTTGAATTTCGCAGAATACCATTTCCTGGTCTAGGTAAATTGTTGAGGCCAAGGGGGGTGGGGAGGAGGGAGAGGGAGGAGAAGGGGAAAGGGCGGGGAAGAGAAGAAGAAGGGCCTGGAGTAAATGTGGGTACCCACCCCTCCCCCTTCCTCAAGGGAAATGGCTCATGAGATCTTGACCTGCAGGTGCCTAGATCTAACCTTGGCCAAGACAACTGGCCTTCCTTTTGCTCTGTGGATTCTTATGGTTAGGACTTTGGGTTGAATCATCAGATCAGAAGGGTCTCTGGAACGTGAGGGCTACACTAAGTTTATGTGTGTTTCCACAAATCAATAGGGGAAAAAAATCACCCCTAGAGAACACTTGAAAATAAGTTAGGATATAATGTAAGATTGCACCAAACAATGAAAGGATACTCGTAAATAATTAAATGAGGGGGAAGGACACAAACTCTGAGTCATGGGTTCTCTCCTATTTGCCAGTTCATTCCATCACAACACTGAACCCATCACAAGCAGCAGAATACTCTCTGCAATATAGGGTTGTCCTGGGAATGAAACACCTGGAAGATGTTTCATAAATGGTACCTCCTATCACCATGAAGTCACCGCAGCCCTCAAGGAGATAGGGAACCCTGAACCGATCTCAGCTGAGCAGGCAGCTTAGGGGTGCTGGCATCGAACTGGCTTCCAGATGTAGAGTGGCAGGTGCTCAAGCATCATGGCTCTGAGTAACTATGGACCCACCTGGCCCCTGGCCACTTTTCAAACATATTGATTGTTCTATGGGGACAAATTTATCTGCTAAGTCAATCATAGATTTAAACTAAATATATATATATATATATCCATATATAATTTTATTGTTATTACTAAGGTGTTGTACAGAGTCACACAGATATGTACTAATATTTCTAATGTATCATTTAATGACAAACTACTATATGTTTTGAATCAACATAGAAAAATAATCAGCAATGAATAAGAAAACATTCATTTCTTCAGTTATATTCAAAATAGTGTAACACTATATGACATATATATATATACAACATGTTATTGAAACTTTTATACTTAACTTTGAATTTCTTAAAATGATGATTCCCAGCACCACAAAAATCTCCCTAAAATAAGAAGCCTTCTGTAATTTAAACTGAAATAGCTAGTGCTAATAGTACATTTACTTGTTGAGGTTCATTGATGCAAATGTATATGTTTAATTCAAGGCTTCGTATAATTTTTTTTACAACATTCAAGTCTCTGAGAAAAGACTTTTTTTTTTTCGTCTGTCATGGAGCTTGAACTCAGAACCTGTGCATTGTCCTTGAACTCTTGCTCAAGGCTAGTGCTCTACCACTTTGAGCCAGGGCACCACTTCATTTTTCTGGGGTTTAGTTGGAGATAAGAGTCTCATAGACTTTCCTGTCTGGGCTAACTTTGAACAGTGATCCTCAGATCTCAGCCTCCTGAATAGTAGGATTATAGGCATGAACCACCAGTGCCAGCTAACTTTCTACTTCTTATAGTCCATCAACACCTCAGTTTTCTTGACCTCTCAAAGTAATATCTTCTTTCTACACATTTCCTTCTATAATTTCTTTTCCTCTCTGTCCAGTCTCTACATTCATTCTCCTCACTTTCCACCCAATGTGTTTATACCTTGCCTTATACCTTTTATTTCTGCCTTTCTCAAGTTCATTTCAGTCTTTTCTCACCTTAACTCTTCAGTTACACTTATTCTTTGGTGATTAGTTGGAGAGTAGTTGTACGATCAATTGGATGGTTAATTGGAGATGAGTCTCACAGACTTTCCTGCCCCAACTGGCTTTGAATATCTACCCTCAGATCTCAGCCTCCTGAGTAGCTAGGATTACAGGCGTGAGCCACCAGCGCCCTGCTAAAAAAGACTTCTTAATATTTTCTCCTTGCACTGGGACAATTGCTAGAACAATTCTGGGAAGTAAGCAAGGTGGGTTTGTTTTGTTTTATTTTCATTTATTTACTTATTGTTAATTTGTAAAATTCTCACCACTGTGACACTTTTTGTCCAGGGGTCCTCAAGAACAAAGGGCAAGAGATTGAGATACAGTCTACACTTTCTGTCCCTAGCACAGTACAAAGGAGTTCAAGAAATATTTGTTGGGTACAACAAAGGAGTGAACCAAAATTTCCACTTTAAATAAGTAACTGTTTAATTCATCCATGGTTGGGCACAAGAAAGTACTTGAAGTGACTGGTACATTTGAGTTTATTTGGGCTGGCATTCACCTCCCATCCTTCCACCTCATTCAGGTCTCAAAGTAACTGGGGAATCCAGACCAACCTGCATTTAAACAGGATTACAAAGCTGGTGGAAGTCAGCTATTGGTATTCCATTTTTCCCCAGGTCCCAGCATTGTCCACATTTGGGTGAGGTCTTGCTGTCTCTAAAGGCTGCAGATCCTAACTGCCTGCTTAGAGCGATCCTACCTTGCTGGGTCTCTCCCTTCCTCCCTTACTTTAGATCTGCCAGTATTTCCAGCTCTGTTTATTTCTTCAGGGCTTAATTACTGACCTGTTAAATTCCCTGCTCTTAAGCTCCATTGCATCTGGGTAAAATGGAAAAATAAATACCCCAACTTATTAAATAACTGATCTTATTTTATACATAATCTAAGTCAATAAACTCCTGCCCGGACCTCGTAGTGATCTTATGAGTCACCCGCCAAGCAGAGAAAGTATGTTTGTAGCAACCATCTTCCTCCTCCAACCAGGTTCATCCATTCCACCAAAAGAGCTGAGCAACCAAAACTTCTAGACCTGTATTTTTATCCTTTCTCCCAAAGCTCTCTTCCTCTCTGCCATTCACGACCTCTCAATTTAAACTTCCACTTAAGATTTTGAGAACAGGAATTCAGACCATTAGACCTATCATGTCTTTATAATTTAGAAAATCTTCACATACATAAAATAAAACTCCTACTAAACTTAGTTTGCTATGGATCTTGGTGAATGTGAATAGGGAAAAGAAACAGTTTTAATTCACACATTGATGCTTCACTTTGGCAGTTAACAATAATGTATCTTATACCAAATCATATTTACATCTTTTCGGTGTTTAAACTGCCTGAATATTTTTCCTTATTGTTCTTTGTTTCATTTTTTTCTTGTCTGAATATTTTTGTAGCCAATTTTTAAATTAGGTATGGGCAATATTATTTTCTAACCAATTATTATGTGTTGCCTGTGAACAAAGTTTTCTTTCTCTGTTCATTTTCTTCCATTAAACTCTATTCATCTGTATTCCTCCCTAAGGTCAGAGAATAAAGAAAGCTGTTTGTCATATCTGCTGCAGTCTTTTGATTGACTTTAGGGTAGATCCCAGTTTGTGTAAAAATTATTGCTCTACCCCAGCATTGGTAGTTCACACCAGTAATCCTACCTACTCAGAAGGCTCAGATCTAGCTACTCAGGAGTCTGAGATTGAGGTTCAAATCCAGCCTGGGCTGGTAGAGGGCTATCCTTGAGCAAAAGAGCTCAGGGACAGCACTCAGGTCCTGAGTTCAAACCCCACAACCACAAAAAATGATGATGATGATGATGATGATGATGATGATTATGATAATGATGATGATGTCTTTGATTCTTATGAAACACTGCCAATTTTACTTCATAATCAGAAGAAGTTTCTATTGATGGTTTTTCAGTTCTAGATGCCTTTGGCTTTTGCTGACAACTTTCTGCTTGCTTCACAGATGGCACCTTTTAGTTGTGTCTCCCCATGTTGGGAAGGGCAAGGTGACTCTCTAGGTCTTGAATTCAGTTATATATTAAAAGTTCCAGCAGTATGATTTATGTTTGGATTCAACTCTGCTTATGATGGAGGAGAAAAAAGAATCAAGATCAAGTCTTAGTTTGTGTGCCTACTTGGGTAGACAGGAAAGAGTCATAGAATTATGACAAAAATCTTAAGAAACTTAAGTTTTTAAAGCCTAAGGGCCGTGTAACCACACATTCAGAACAAATGTTATGGAAGCATCACTAGAATGTGTTAGGCTCCTGGAACCTTCTGCATCTGTCTCTGGCCAGTTCAACCTGCCCACATGACCATTTGTTCCCTTCTGGAACAAATCTTACACGTTTTCTTCATGAGGCAGACCCCTACCAACAATGCACTATCACACAGGATGACACTCCTGGGTAAAAAAGAAGAGCAGGATTCTTTAAACATGCAATAGGGCAGAAAAAGAAATAAGGCTTAAATCAATAATGGCCGTAGCAGAAAGGCAAATATTTAAAGAATTTTCCCTGAGATGCTGTGGGGATGGGCGGGAAACACAGATCTGGGCCTGCAGTACTAAGAGCCTTTGGGTCAGGGTGATATGATGGTCAGAATGATAAAGGCATAAAAGCAGAGTCCACTCAAGCATCCAGTTAGAAGATGCTTGGTGAGATTATCCAAATGCTCTTAGGAATAATAACAGATGCATCAGGGATATTATTAGAATATCAAAATAGCCTTTCTTCTGTCCCCCCTTCTGTTGTCTTATAGAATTAGAGTATGTAGTGTCTTTCATTTATCTTACCCAATTAAAAACCTTGATTTGAAAGTAACTGAGCCAGGCGCTGGTGGCTCATGCCTGTAATCCTAGCTACCCAGGAGTCTTAGATCTGAGGATCATGGTTCAAAGCCAGCCTGGGCAGGAAAGTCCATGAGACTCTTTATCTCCAATAAACCACTTGAAAACCGGAAGTGATGCTGTGGCTGAAGTGGTAGAGTGCTTGTCTTGAGCAGAAGAGCACAGGGACAGTGCCCAAGCCCAGAGTTCAAGCCTCACAACTGACCAAAGAAAGAAAGTAACCATTCTCCAACCCTTTTGTTGTTGTTGTTGTTGTGGGGACTGGGCGCTGTCCCTCAGCTCTTCAGCTCAAGGCTAGCACTCTACCACTTGAGCCACAACACCACTTTTAGCTTTTTCTGCTTATGTAGTGCTGAGGAATTGAACCCAGAGCCTCATGTATGCAAGGCAAGTACTCTACCACTGAGCCACTTTCCCAGCCCTCTCCAACCCTTTTATCCAAGAAAATTGAACCTTCTTTCCAGCCCACTTTTTAAAATTCTAGTTGTATTACCTACATTTCTATACGCTTAGAGCAATAGTAGTTAAATATTTTATTTCTGCAAAATAGAACAATGAAAAGAATTGTTACACCTAATATATCTCATCACATCCTGATGCTACTTCTCGGAATTCATAAAGGAGGATATTACTCAGATCTGACCGAAATTTCCAGGTCCTGAAGGAGAGAGACTTGAAGAAGTTGCATCATCCTTAACAGCTTGAATTAAGCCACCTGGAATTGCAAAGTTGGGTTCATGTGACTGGCACAAGGTTACTTGGCTCAAGGTTGAGCTGCTGCAATAGAAGGACTGTGATTTCTTGCACAGTTTCATGCAGGAGAGAACTTTTTCTAGACATGCCTCAGAAACCGATTTACCAAATTGCTTGGTCCTTCCTTACTTTGAGCTACTATACCTGTAATTTATTTTTTTAATTTACCAAATATTTTTCTTCCTTGGCTCCCAAATAAAATATCACCTTCATGTTTCCCAGAATATTCTTATACACTGTAGACACCACAAAATATTCAATGTATGTGAATAAATCCTATGAGCAAATCATTAATATTATTCTAATGTTTTAGGGGAACCTCAGACCATCTTGTAAAGCGGTGAATGATGACTATGATGGCTCACCAGTACCCTTCTTGGATCTTCATCAATGAGAGGACTTTCATAACCAGGTAACTATATACCTACACTGTATGCTACCCTGCTAACCAATCACCTACAGAAGATACCATACAAAGGTTTCTAAGTATGGTATATGATCAACAAGATCAATGATATTATTACCAGAGGACACACTGGATAAGAGACTACAAAAGTATATTCTTAAAGACTGCTAAACCGTACCCTATCATAGAACAATTGCTCCTATTTCATAAACAGTGGTTCAGTTTCATTAAAAGCTACACTTCTGTTTGAATAGTTGAAAAAATTATGAAGAACAAGATTATGTGAAGGATCTAAGATTCCTCATGCATGACACATCCAAAGAATTAGCTCATGGGCCATTGTATGTTCTGTCTTGGCCTCTCCATTTCTTGTTCTTCATTACACACATCATTTTCACTAGTTTCCTCTTTAACAGTAGGTTATGTAATGTAAAATCAACATCTGTACTGTCTTATATACAAAAATGAATCTTCTATCACTTTGAAATAATAATGTAAGGGTTTATCAATTGTAAGGAAGAGAAAGGCTAAGTGCTATGGGACATACCTTGAGATGTAGAGATGGACAGGATGGCAGTTGAACCAAACCTAGGGAAAACATTAGCAAGATTCCTTCCTTGATAAAAGAGATTCAGTACAATGCTTGTGATCCCAACTAAGCAAGAGGCATAGATAGAAGGTTCACAGTCCAAGCCTGGTCTCAGACAACAAAGTAGAGACTGTGTCTGAAATATAGCTAGAGTAAAACATAGCTTGAGCATGGCTCAAGTGAGAGAGCACCTGCCTACCAAGTACAAGGTCCTAAGTTCAAACCTAATACTCGAAAAAAATGAAATTAAAAGGTAAGAATTGAACCTGATTACACTAAGATATTGACAGAGGAAGGGACAGATCGAATACCAAAGAATGTAATGGCACTAGAACATGACCTGAGTCTTATGGATGAGAATGGAAATAAAGCCAACTGATAAAAAGAAACCAGGTTAGACATTAGGAACATATAGGGCAACAAACATAGACAAACGTGAATTAAAGCCACAAGTGGAGGATCAGGATGAAATATAAGGGTAGAAAGATGACACCAAAATGGGCCTTAAAGACGAATAGAAAGGTGAGTATGAACAAAGTAATTTATATATGTGTATGGAAACTCCATAATGAAATCCTCCAGTTAATACAATTAATTTTAATATGCTCTAATAAAAATAATGATAAATGGGCTTAAAATAGAAGATTCTTTATTCCTTTTTCATATACTTCCTGTCTGTTGCTGTGCGTAGGTACTGCCCTGAAGCTTGAGCATTCAATCATGAACCCAAGAAAACCCTTCATTTCTTGGATTACACCCCATAGCAGAGGGAAGACACATCCATATGAAAGATAAATATTGAAAGATAAGATAGGAAGAGTAAAGATAAAAGAGTAAATAATAGTGTAGGTAGAGAAGGAAAGGTTTAATATAAGATGTGTAGGGAAGGTGTTGGTGAAGAGACTGTCATACAGGAGAACCCTGAAGTCCTGTGGCTATGAGCATTGACAGCAAGTCAACAGCCTGAGGTAGGTGCACATCTGTCTGTGCTGAGCAAGCCAGTGGAAAGGAGGAACTGAAGTGGAAAGATAAGAGGAAGAACGTGAGGTTAAGAGAAAATGACACCAAAATATCTAGGGTTTCATCAGTCATTTTGAGAATCAGCTTTTCCTATTACATAAGATAGGGCAAAGTCATGGAAAGATATTGGACATATGAATGACAACATTAGTTGGCCACTCACTTAGAAACATATCAAAAAGGGGACAAGAATAGAGGCATGAAGTTACAATGGAACTGATGGCTTCAGTAGAAAGGATGGAGACAGTGAGATAGAAAAAAACAAAGTATGTCCTAAATTTAGTTAATCCTCATTTCCAAGTTTAATTGATTCATGTGCTCCTCATCTGTATATTAGAAACACGTCGAATACTAATCATATTCAGATCTTTTCCTTGATGCCATTCGCTAAGCAACACAGTGTTATAACTATTTTTACAATATTTACATCATATTCTGCATTATAGGTAATCTAGAGACAACACAATGTTTACTTAGCTACATGCAAATACTGTGTCACTTTTTTGGAAAGACTTGAATGTCTGCAGACTTTGCTATCTGTATGAGTTCTGAGCCCACAGATACCAAAGCACAGGCTATATTTATGGGATTTCTTGAAGGATTTGATGTGAGGTGTGAAAGACAAAACTAATCAAGGAAAATTCTAATGATATTGAGCTAAATGAATGGAGTAAATCTTTTTTTCTATTATGAAGAGTATATGAAGGATATGTTTTGGGGTTTAGGAGATTGAGAATTCAGTCCTGGACATGCGATGTCTGAGAATGAACAAACTCATCAAAGAATAAGTGTAATTGAAGTGTTAAGGTGACAAAAGACTGCAATGAAATAGGGAAAGGCAGAAACAAGAGGTACAAAGCAAGGTATAAATATATTGGGTGGAAAGTGAGGAGAATGGATGTGGAAACTGGACAGGAGGAAAAGAAATTATAGAAGGAAATGTGTAGATACAAAATACCACTTTGAAAGATCAAGAAAACTGAGGTGTTAATGGAATATAAGAAGTGAAAAGTTAGCTGGCACTGGTGGCTCACCTACTCAGGAGGCTACTCAGGAGGCTGAGATCTAAGGATTGCAGTTCAAAGCCAGCCCAAGCAGGAAAGCCCATAAAACTTATCTCCAACTAACTGCTAGGAAACCAGAAGTGGTTCTGTGGCTCAAAGTGGAAGAGCAAAAAAGCTCAGAGACAGTGCCCAGGCTCTGAGTTCAATCCCCCTGACCAACTAAAAGAAGGAGGAGGAGGAAGAGTGGGGGAGGAAGAAGAAGAAGAAGAAGAAGAAGAAGAAGAAGAAGGAGAAGGAGAAGGAGAAGGAGAAGGAGAAGGAGAAGGAGAAGGAGAGGGAGAGGGAG